AAAGCTGAGTCAATGAATGTGTAAGCATCTCAGCACTGGCAGGGGTATCCACAGAGCTGCTCCAGCACCCAGGGCTGCATCCGGGTAGGTCCATATGGCTTCTCCTCAGGGATGTCTTGCAGGAAGTCAGCCTTGCAAGTTGAAGCTGGGAACTGCTAAGGCAGCTGCACCCTGGTCTGACCATCACAAAGCAAGAGACTCGAGAACTCGAAAGGTGAGGCTGACTGAGCCATTTATCCCTCACTTCCCTTATGATTGGTAGGCACCTTGCAGAGATTTGTCCATACACTACGCAAATAAAGTGTCTGTGGTCTAATGGGAAGCTGTGGTCCCTGTGGAGGAGTCCTTTAAAATTAACACGGCCTTGTGTATAAGGCACCCTGGTGGCACAGTGGTTAAAAGCTTTCTACTCTCTTAGAGAATTAAAAGTCTCGGAAATTCACAGGGGCAATTCTACCCTGCTCCTTGGGTTGCTGTGAATTGGCTTTGACTAGCCGGCAGTGAGCTTGTTTGTGTGTATAAAGTGCTGGGGAGGGGCCCTGGTGACATAGTGGTTATGAGTTCAGCTGCACTCCGTAAGGTCAAGAGTTTGAAACCACCAGCTGCTCCAATGGCGAAAGACAGGGGCTTTCTACTCCTGTCAAGAGTTCCTGTCTCAGAAATCCAGAGGGGTAGTTCTACCCTGCCCTATCAGGTTACTATGAGTTGGAATTGACTCAATGGCGGTGAGTTAAGTTTTTGTGCACGTGATGCAGCCAATCCAAGAAGTTTTTCAGACAGAAAGAAAGAAGTAGGATGAAGAAGCAGAAGGAAAAGACAAAACAGAGAGAGAGAGAGAGAGAGAACACCACAAAAACCTGTAAGACGAGTCAAGAATTTTAATCCTACCGACTGTGAGTGCCCCAGATGGTGTCCACACAGAGCTGGTGACATAAGGCCTGGAGGGGACCTGTGGCAAAGTTGGTGGTGACAGGTGACAGGGCCAAAAGAGGCCTGAATTGAGGGGGCCGAGAGAAGGCCTATACAGCTGACAGGAGCTGCCCTACACCAAGGAAGGGAGAATGGCTGCATGTTCCCTGATTCTGATCCTTGAGATCTTGATCCCAAGTTGTGCCCTGCTACTTCTTTAATAAACCAATTGACTGTAAGTATGACCCGTGAGTTATATGTGGCCACTCCAATGGAGTACTGAATCCAGCAGAGAAATATAAAGTAGCGGGGAAGGGAGGGCTGTAGTCAGAATTAGTAAAAAGGTCAGAAAGTCAGTCTGACTCCAGCTCATGGGAATCAATTTGGGCTGATCCTGGCAATATCCCACTGAAGTCAGACACGTCTGACACTCGTCCTCCCCCACCGTTTTACAAGCACTTTCACAAAGGTGTGCACCACAATCCAATTTTAGAAGCTGCCCATCCCTCAAAAAGAAACCTCATGCCCATTTGTTCGCCACTCTTTATCCAACCTCAAACTTAGGCCACCACTATGTACTTTTCTGACTCTTCTAGATTTGCCCCTCCTCAACATTCCATAAAAATGAAGCCATGTGCAGTCTTTGTGCGGGTTCTGCCAGAGCTCAGTGTTTGTGAGTTCATCCAGGTTGCAGCATGCATCACTAATTTGCTTCTGCCTTCAGTTGAACAGTATTCCATTGAATAGGTAGGTTGTTTTATCTATTCATCAGTTGATGCGCATTTGGATAATTTGGCTATTATGAATAATGCAGCTATAAACATTCATGTACGGGCCTTGTATGGAAATATGTTTCCATTTCTGTTGTGTAAGTATCCAGAAGTTGGATCATACAGTAAATGTATCATTATTTTGTTAAGAAACTTGAGCTAATATGTTAAAAAGTAAAATACTACACTGAAAGACAAAAAAATACTAACAGTCCTTACTTATAAATAAGACAATGAGGAAAAAGAGAACAGGGAGCCAGTGGAGAGGCCTGAACTGAGGAAGATAAAGCATTGCTCAGAGTTTGGTCTGAAGTTGTCTGCTTAGACAGCTCGCTATCCTCAAACATCTCCTGAGCTGCCCAATCTTCGTGTCGATGCCTGTAAAATTGGTGGATGCTGTTGGACCTCCAGGAACTTCACAAGGGAAAGGAGAAAGAATAACCACCAGCACCAGCCTAAGTGGGATATCTGAGGACAAACAGCCCGCCCTTCTCACAGCAATCTCTACTTCTCTGCTGGACGTGACAAGTTGCTGCAATGGCCATACAGAACTCACAGACCACAGTCACAGTTACAGGTTTACTAGAGAAGTAAAATGCTATAATTCAGGGCACAATTTTTCAATCAGGGCATCTTTTCCAGCCATGTCTGAGCCCTACCTGGGCCTAAGCCCTGTGCTTAGCCAACAGAACACAGGTTCTTCTTGGTCCCTTCAGGGCGTGCCTCAGGCTTTTGGCCTTGGCCTGGCCTCTGCCCTACTAAAGCACATGCACTACCTTGCATCACAGCCTGAGACAATACTTTCTAATCAGAACCACACTAGATGGATCTTGACAGAAAGGGAAAAACAAAAGGAACAGAATTTCAAGTGCTCAAAAATAACCAGGCTTACTGGGTTCATGGAGACTGAAGAAATTCCCAAGACTGGAATACTCTGTCTCTCTTTTTATTTTTTTGAAAAATATATATCTCCATCTATACAAAATTCAGGTTGTATGTAAAACATCAATTGACAGGTTTTTTCTGTCTTTGATTCCCTGTTGCTGGAAAAAGTTTAACCAAGCTTGCATGTTAATTTGTCCTTAGTTGTGAGTACTATAGACAACTTCATACTGCGCCTAATGAAATGATAACCCTTCACTGACACAATCAGAAGGCACCAGTGATTCAGAAGCAACATCCTACCCCTGACACTGTCAGTTCTGAGCCATCAGCATGAAAATCCTTGATAAGCTTAAGAAGATGTCTCTGGGAATCAATTAATGGATATGATTAGCCGGACCCCCACCATGGGAGTGCCACAGAAAATGAAAATAGTCTGGTGGGGGAAAGGAACTGACCTACCACACCCAGAAGGAAGCTGAAGCAAAGGAAGGAGGGGGAAAGGGGAGTGGAGCACACCTGGGCCCACCAAGCTCAGACAGAGGACAATAGCCCGGCTCGGATGGCCCAATGCACAGAGAGGACCATATGGCCGGCCCAACTGCGAGATGCGACACCCTGCACTA